TCCACAATAAAGATGCCTCAAGGTAAGGGACCCAAGGGACGGCCCAGAGATAGACAAAAATTTAACACACCTGACCTTACCCCCACTTCCCAACAGTCAAAATAATGAAGAAGAGGAGGAAGACAGGCCGATGCTAGAAATCTGAAATCCACTCCTCCTCCTCCCCAAGTACAGGCACCAGAACCGATGCCCAACCCACTGGCTTCCGGAGGGCTGAAAAGCCACCACAGACAAAGCCTATTAAGCAGAAGGAGATGAAGAAAGGGGCGGAGGCGGAGGCGGAGGCGGAGGCGGAGGCGGAGGCGGAGGCGGAGGCGGAGGCGGAGGCGGAGGCGGAGGCGGAGGCGGAGGCGGAGGCGGAGGCGGAGGCGGAGGCGGAGAAGAAAAAAAAGAAAAGGTTCGTCCAAAACTGTAAATGTATATGTGCCCTGGGCCTTACCAATGGCTCCCTTGCCGCCTCCCCTGCCCCGTTTCTGCACCACTGGTGTGTGTGCCTGGAGTGCTCTACTCCCCTGCCGCCGTCTCAGCCGCCCTTCCCTACCCCCGCCCCCCCCGCCCCCCCCCCCCCGGGTGCCATGGGCTCCCCTTTCTCCTCCTCCTCCTCCTCCTCCTCCCCACCCCCTTATCAAGGAGCAAAAGCCCTTGCCCTTGGGCCCAAGCCCTTGGGCCACCTCCTTATGAGGTTTAAATTGGAGCACCTCCCAAACTAGCAGGAAGGGGCCCGAGGGCTCCGCTGATCTTAGACCGCCCGCTTCAGACTTTCCCCAAGGAGTCTGATGGGGGAAAACAATCGATTGACTTTTTAGTGGACGCAGGTGCAACTTCTTTGGCGTTAAAGCCAATTCAAGGTTGTTGGTTTATTTTAAAAAGACGTGGTTTTGGAGCTATCAATGTCACACATAATACAAATAATCAACTTTGCGTTTCTTTCTTTCTTTCTTTCTTTCTTTCTTTCTTTCTTTCTTTCTTTCTTTCTTTCTTTCCCTTTTTCTTTCTTTCTTTCTTTCTTTCTTTCTTTCTTTCTTTCTTTCCTTTTCTTTCTTTTCTTTGTCATAAAAGCACTTGGATTCGGTTCTCCCTGCGTTACAAGCCGTTGGGTGGGCAGTGGAATGTGCCACGCTCCCGTCACAACAGTGAGCCTGTATTTGTGGTTATCAAAATATACCTCTCCATCACCTTTATAAAAACCAACCAACCAACCAACCACGTTTGGGTGCCTGGGTGGCTCAGTCGTTCAGCGTCTGCCTTCGGCTCAGGTCATGATCCCAGGGTCCTGGGATCGAGCCCCGCATTGGGCTCCCTGTTCATTGGGGAACCTTCTTTTCCCTCTGTCCCTTCCCCTGCTTGTGTTCCCTCTCTCGCTGTGTCTCTCTCTGTCAAATAAATAAAATTTATGAAATATATTCATACATTTGCCAATCTAAAGAATTCTGGTGTAATAGAGAGTGCGCCATTGGTTACTACTAACGTTTCACCAGAGACTGAGATTTCTAAGAATTAAAATTCTGCCACATGGAATTGGGACTGCTACAAAATGATAACAAAAACAACTCCGTGTGTGGGAAGGTAGGAGACGTGTAAAAGAGGTACAAGAAATGAGAAAACATTTTTTTTGTTGAGGGAAAAGGAAGTAATGGTGTACTGAAACGGGACTGGGTACTTAAAGAAAGAAAACTTTAAGACCGAGTCTGAATGAAAAAGGAAATTGTGGAAGGGGTTTGTGAAGGAGAATTTTTGAAAAGGAATTTTATGCATGGTCAGGACTGACTGAGCTTGGGAGAAGGCAGTTTGAAAAGCACACTGGTGGAACTGGAGGGTATTATGTTGAGCGAAATAAGTCAAACAGAGAAAGACATGTATCCTATGATCTCACGGATAGGAGGAATTCTTAATCGCAGGAAACAAGCTGAGGGTTGCTGGAGTGGGGGGTGGGGTGGGAGGGATGGGGTGACTGGCTGATAGACACTGGGGAGGGTAGGTGCTCTGGCAAGCGCTGTGAATTGTGCAAGACTGTTGAATCTCAGATCTGTACCTCTGAAACAAATAACGCAATCTATGTGAAGAAGAAAAAAAAAATAGAAGAAGGTAGCGGGAGGGGACGAATGAAGCGGGGGAAATCGGAGGGGCGGACGAACCATGAGAGACGATGGACTCTGAACAACAAACTGAGGGTTCTAGAGGGGAGGGGGGTGGGAGGATGGGTTAGCCTGGTGGTGGGTATTGAGGAGGGCCCATTCTGCATGGAGCACTGGGTGTTGTGCACAAACAATGAATCATGGAACACCACATCTAAAACTAATGATGTAATGTAGGGGATTAACATAAGAATAAAAAAAAGAAGAAGAAAAGCACACTGGTATAAGATTGAGATTTGGGTTTTCTATGTTAAAATGACAAGGTTTTCTTGGATTGTTAGTGTACTCTTTTTTTCTTTCTTAAGATTGTATTTATTTATTTGACAGAGAGAGACACAGCGAGAGAGGGAACACAAGCAGGGGGAGCGGGAGAGGGAGAAGCAGGCTCCCGGCCAAGCAGAGAGCCCGATGTGGGGCTCGATCCCAAGACCCTGGGATCATGACCTGAGCCGAAGGCCGACAGACGCTTGACGACTGAGCCACCCAGGCGCTCCTCCGAGATTTTATTTTTTAAATAATCTCTACACTGAACGTGGGGCTCGAACTCACAACCCTGAGATCAAGAGTCGTGCTCTCTACCGACTGAGCCAGCCAGGTGCCCCTGGACTGTCATCTCGAAGAGACACATGCGTAGACTCAGATATGGTGAGACTGCTTTAAGAAAGTCAGATTGACTTTATGGAGCCAGTAAAGCCCCTTAGAAATGTTGGCCTGATAACCTTGCTTAGAGAGGTCCCCTCAACCTTACCAGGTGAGTGAAGAGTACCACCTCCTGGCAGATGCAGGAACTTCAGGAAATTTGGAGGCCCTCAAAGAAGAGAGGAATTCACCCAAATCTACAAGTCTTTTTTTTTTTTGTAATTTTTTTTATTCTTATGTTAATCCCCGTACATCACATCATTAGTTTTAGATGTAGTGTTCCATGATTCATTGTTTGTGCACAACACCCAGTGCTCCATGCAGAATGCGCCCTCCTCAATACCCACCACCAGGCTAACCCATCCTCCCACCCCCCTCCCCTCTAGAACCCTCAGTTTGTTTTTCAGAGTCCATCGTCTCTCCTGGTTCGTCTACCCCTCCGCAAATCTACAAGTCTTGCAGGCGAATCTGATGGCCAATATTTGGCTTGGTTCTCGGCTTTAAAAAGGCAGTTAAAGGATCAATCTAAAATTCCTTGTAAAAAGCTCCATCAAAGCAGATTTAAAAGAAGGAAAGGAAAAAGAAAAGAGAAGAAAGACCCCATATATGGTCAATTGCTATTCTTGCTGTCCCTACGTAGATGATTGGGCCAAGTTTGTTAAAACTGGACTTGTTTTACAAACAAATTAATCTTCTTTTGGCTATCTTTGACAGGAATGAAGGTGACTTTAGAGAGAAAGATTACATTTCAATAACACACTTTTGTGAGTGTTAGATTAATTATCTTTGAACGTTTATTGTTTGCCTATAAAACTGGACTGGATCCTGGATCCTTCTGGTTTCCTTGAGTATCTGACTGTGACTCTTCAAACTAAGGTTTCCAACATTCTCCCATTCTCTCTCTTTTTTTTAATTAATTTATTTTTTTATTCTTAGGTTAATCCCCATACATTACATCATTAGTTTTAGATGAAGTATTCCATGATTCATTGTTTGTGCATAACACCCAGTGCTCCATGCAGAATGGGCCCTCCTCAATACCCACCACCAGGCTAACCCATCCTCCCACCCCCCTCCCCTCTAGAACCCTCAGTTTGTTGTTCAGAGTCCATCGTCTCTCATGGTTCGTCCGCCCCTCCGATTTCCCCCCGCTTCATTCGTCCCCTCCCGCTACCTCCTCCTCCTCCTCCTCCTTCTTCCTCCTCCTCCTCCTCTTCTTCTTCTTCTTCTTCTTTTCTCCTTCTTCTTCTTCTTCTCCTTCTTCTTCTTCTTCTTCTTCTTCTTCTTCTTCTTCTTCTTCTTCTTCTTCTTCTTCTTCTTCTCCTTCTCTCCTTCTCCTTCTTCTTCTTCTTCTTCTTCTTCTTCTTCTTCTTCTTCTTCTTCTTCTTCTTCTTCTTCTCTCCTTCTTCTTCTTCTTCTTCTTCTTCTTCTTCTTCTTCTTCTTCTTCTTCTCTCCTTCTTCTTCTTCTTCTCTCCTTCTTCTTCTTCTTCTTCTTCTTCTTTTCTTCTTCTTCTTCTTCTCTCCTTCTTCTTCTTCTTCTTCTTCTTCTTCTTTTCTTCTTCTTCTTTTCTTCTCCTTCTTCTTTTCTTCTTCTTTTCGTCTTCTTCTTTTCTTCTCCTTCTTCTTTTCTCCTCCTCCTTTTCTCCTCCTCCTCCTCCTCCTCCTCCTCCTTCTTCTTCTTCTTCTTTTTTTCCCCTTAACATATATTGCATTATTTGTTTCAGAACATTCTCCCATTCTCTTATCTTACAATCATTAAGAACTAAAACTGTCCTTTTTCCTGAAGTCTGGCAAATGAAAGCTGGACAACTTGAAATAAATTTCAGGGAAATGACCACAATAACTCATATATAGACAATCTTTGTGCCTGTTGCTCTATGAGTCACTCAAAATGAGACATTTGAACTATACGCCAGAAAAATTAGTCAGATTGCCCCTGCCCACTCCCACTCTATTGGAGGATGCTTCAAGCCTGACATCTAGAGACCTTCTCACTGGCAGCCCTCTGGACTTAGACACCAGGTGTATCCCTTGTTCCAACCATTAACCATGTTTTCCTTTTGTTTCCATAGAAATGCCTCTTATTAACTACAAGATCACTTGCTGAATGAGGCAGAGTCTATGATCCTTAATTCCACCTTGCTGCACCTGTATTAACTCCTCTTTGGAAAATAAGAACCCATATAAATAGGGGCACCTGGCTGGCTCAGCTGGTAGAACATACGACTCTAGATCTCGGGGTTGTGAGTTCGAGCCCCACATTGAGTGTAGAGATTACTTAATAGAAATCTTTAAAGAAAAAAAAAAATAAAAAAGAACCCATGTAAATAAAATCAAACACTAAGCTACTTGGCTACCAGAAGCCCTTCACCACCACAACCTACCGCCCCCCCCCCAGGGGAGGGGCTCAGACTAATTTACTGATCTGTATTCTTGGATACCCACCGATATCAGATCAATTTGAGAGAGAATGAGAGAATTGGGTTTGACTCTACTGTTACTATTCCTTAGACTACACTTGGGGATAAAATCAATGGTGTCATGTAGTCCCAAACCATGTAGAAAAATAACCAAGTTCTCAGATAAGGAACTATCTCTGAGACCCCCTCCATTAGCACAAGGGACCAAAAATTGCGACCTGCAGTGTCTCAGATCCTTCCATTCCAAAGCCTCTACTGCACCCTAATTCAGCTTGAAGCAGTTAAATAAAGAAGGCAGACCTCTGCCCATGTGTCATAGAAATGGAATGCAGGATGGACAAGGGGAAATTTTAACAGGGAAAAATGTAGCATGTCTGACTCCCTGTTATTTTTATTCCCTTTTAACCTGTAGGTTAAAAACTTCTGTTTAGCCCTGAACATAGCCATGTTACAGCTAAGATTTACAGAAACTGTCGTTTACCCAAAACCTACCTCCCCTGAGGAGATGAAAGAATAGCCACAGCCATCATCATCCCAATTCCCTAAGACTGAGGAATGATCCTCACTTGGTGGGGGTGGGGGTGGGGGTGGGGGTGGGGATTGAAACCGTGCCCCATAAGGTTAATGAGGTTGATGCTAGCAGAAAGCTTAAAGCTGGTTTTTCAGGGAACTGTTTCCCCCTAGTCAGCTATTGTGTCTTTTCAGGCCCTGCTACCAAATACTGGCTGTCTCTGCAGAAGTCTGGACTCAAGGTCAACTGATAATGGCTGCAGCCTATGAAGAAGCGAGGTCCTGATTCCTTACCTGAGAAAAGGAGCCTAAGACCCCATCCAGGTTGTACCAGCTCTCAGAGCATGCCCACAGCCTCTTCTCCTTGTCCTCAGATAACCTCCTGACATCAGGGACTCAGTTTTGCCTCATTCAGATGTCAGGTCTCCACCCCGAAGTAAACATGGGAATCTATGGTACATATGTTTCCTGAATATACGTGCTCCAACTTTCGCCATGAATAATCATAAATGTCCCTGCCCTTTTCCTTTTTGAAGTTTGATTGTTTGTTTTTATTTATTTATTTCAGAGAGAGAGACACACAGAGAGAGACAGAGACAGAGAGAGAAACACACAGAGAGAGAGAGAGACAGAGAGACAGAGAGACAGAGAGACAGAGAGACAGAGAGCTTGCACGCATGGGTGGGTGGAGGGGCAGAGGGAGAGGGAGAAGACTCCCCATTGAGCAGGGAGCCCCAGAGGGGTGGGGCTCGATCCCAGCACCCTGAGATTATGACCTGAGCTGAAGGCAGATGCTCAACCGGCAGCCACCCAGGCGCCCCTCCATTCCATTTTTTTTTTTTAAAGAGATAAACATTACATACTTTATTTTTAAAAATTCATTCATTCATTCATTCATTCATTCATTCATTCATTCATTCATTTTTCATCATCTGTAGTCCCAGTGTAGGGCTTGAACTCAGGACCCTGACTGAGATCAAGAGTCATGTGCTGTTCTGACTGAGCCACCCAGGTGCTCCTTCTGTTCCATATTTTAAACAACCCTGGGATCATGGCTCAGAGTCACAGTTGGCCCAATGAGACTCACACTCACCCCTCTGTGCAGAGGTGCCATCTGTGGGGCTGGTTCCTGTTTGTCCATCTTCCTTCCTCCTCTTACTGGACAGGAAGGTGGTGTGCGAAAACAGCCAGTGACTACGTGGAATGAGACCGAGGATTTCCCTTGGGAAGCAGGTGGGAGAGGGAGGACAGGTCGATGGATAATCAATAAACTGTTTTTTTTTTTTTTTTTTAAGATTGTATTTATTTATTTATTTGACAGAGAGAGACACAGCGAGAGAGGGAACACAAGCAGGGGGAGTGGGAGAGGGAGAAGCGGGCTTCCCGCGGAGCAGGGAGCCCGATGCGGAGCTCGATCCCAGGACCCTGGGATCATGACCTGAGCCGAAGGCACATGCTTAATGACTGAGCCACCCAGGTGCCCCAACAATCAATAAACTGTTAATGTTGATTTAGAGGAGTGTGCTTGCTGGGCCCATAACTCGGTGGATGAGTTAGAACGGTCCCTGTCAGGCCTCCCTTAGCCCTTAGCCCTTAGCCCTTATCACTCCATGCTTGTGTTTGGCCTCTGACCGCTAAGATACCACCATCATGTGTTCAAGGTCCTCCTCAGACTCAGCCAGCCACACCATGCCACACCCTCCTACCTGCACACCCATCCCTGGAAGGCAGTATAGTAAGACATCATCCCCCACATTCATGATTCCCAAAGGGTTTACTGGAGTTTCGTGGGTTAGGAAAAGGAGGGGACTCTTTTTGCCCCCAGATGAGGTGAGCTCTTCAGACACCCTCTTTCCCCTTCCCCTCCTCCCTCCCTCCCTTCCCTCCCTCCCTCCCTCCCTCCCTCCCTCCCTCCCTCCCTCCCTTCCGTCCCTCCCTCCCTCCCTCCCTCATCTCTCTCCGAAGTTTGCAAGCTGCAGCCTAAGGGTTAGGGGGAGTTGAGGAAAGCCATTGAATGGAGGGAAGCTCCAGGCTCTGACTTTAACAGAAAGCTTTCTGCATTTGAATGAAGCGATTGAATGAGGCCCATTAGAATGGATCACCCTGAACGTCCCATCAGCCGCCCCAGCCCCAGCCCCAGCCCCCCCATCCCCCCCCAACTGAAGTCCTCTGGTCGAATTGGAACAGTAGGCTGGGGGGGGGGGGGGGGGCTGTCCATCCTAAGTTGGTAACTAGGCCCCTGGTCCATAGGGAAAAAATCACGCACGGGTACAGATGAGTTGGTAGCTCAGGCAAAGTGGTCGAAGTGTTGGCAAGGTTTCCGTGGATGAGGGGAGATTTGTTCTGGGACCACCCTCCCATATACATCTCTGGCTGAGAAGAGGACAGGGGAGCCCTGTGGGGGTGGGGGTGGGGGTGGGGGTGGGGGGGCGGGACCCAGATCTGGAGCTCGGAGTGGACTATAGCCGCTGCCTGCCCGGGTGTGTGTGCCTGGGGGGCGGGGGGGGGGGCGCTGAGGGATAAGGGCTGAGGGTGGTGGGGTCTGCTCACGCTGACTCCTGCAACTCAATTCATCCTGGGAACCTTCTGTTGTTTCTGCTGAGGTGCCAGGTGCTGTGATGACCAAAGCTAAACTCCTCTCTTTGCCTAGTTCTTAAAAGGCCTGATCCTCCTGTTATCTTGTTAAATGGACCGACCCCTGCACCCTCCCATCCTGCCAGACCCCTTGTGCAAATACTTCCACTTGAAGAGTTCTTTCTCTGAATCTAGAAAATAAACAGACAACACCCACCAGCCACACCGACCCCATTGCCACAAATACCTAGCAAAGACAAATCTAGCTGGTCTCCTTCTGCCTCAAGGCACTTTAGAGAGTCACTCTCTCAGACACACCTTAGGCTCAATTACAGGCTGCTGTCTCCCTTTCTCTGGCACAATTCCATCCCTGGAGGAGCCCCATATCGCATCTGCAGCCGTGAGCTGGAGACAGTATGCTCAAGTGACCGGGTGGTAGCACCGTAACTTTGAAATGACCTATACCCCAAGTCATCCATGAACATGGTCCCTGGAAATCTTTGACATTCACGTGCCTCTGATGAAATCCTTGCTTTGGAAACTCCAGCACCCATAGCCAATCTTGTCCATGTTCTGCTAACCTTTGCTCGCCCTCTGTTCGCCTGATATCTTGCCTGATTGTTTACAGAGAAATTAGATCCCATCCAGCAAGAGCTGAATCCGAGTCCTCTGCTCACCCCACGACGGAAAAGAATATGCACAGGCCTGCATCCCTCTTCTCCTTCTCCACCATGTCGGAAGAAAAGGTGGCCCTCCCTCCTCCCATCAGAACCCAAACCCGAGATAAGACTTAGATATAAAGGAAACCAGCATACTGTTTTGAACTCTATATACACTTGTAAAAAACGAGCAGCGGCAAGGAAACACACAAACCACCACCCCCCCCCACACACACACAGGTGCAAGGAGGGTGCGCTGACTCGCTGAATCTCCCCCTTTTCTCCCGAGAGGCATCCCCCCCATCCCCCGCCCCCCCCCGAAGATGTCCTCCCTATGCCGGAAGGGGAGTGAGTGACGTTCTTTTCTTCCTTTTTTTTTTTTTTTAAATTATTCTTTTTAAAAGACTTTTATTTATTTGAGAGGAGGGGTGGGGGGGAGGGAGGGGGGAGGGAGGGAGAGAGAGAGAGAGAGAGAGAGATTGAGAGAGAGAGAAGCAGAGTCTCCGCCGAGCAGGGAGCCCGATGTGGGGCTGGATCCCCGGACCCTGAGCTCAGGGCCTGAGCCGAAGGCAGGCGGACGGTTCACGGATTGAGCCAGCCAGGCGCCCCAGCTTTCTTGTTTCTTTGTCTGCCTGCTTGCCTGCGTGTTGGGTCTGTGGATGTCTGATGCCTGCCCTCTGATTTCGTGGGGAGGTGGGCCGTCTTTCCTCCTTCCAATGGCCTTTGCGCATTTGTCAAACTTCTGTCGGGCTTGGGCCTATCTGTTTGGGTATCTGTGGCGTTCCATCCACCGACCTGTCTCTTTTGTCTGCCAACATCACAGGGTCTCTATCGCCTCTATACATAAGCATGAAACGGGCCCGGAGAGGACGACTTTGTTTCCTGAGTTTTGTTTTGTTTTCTTCGAAATCACCATAGCGATTCTAATTCCTTTTGCCTGTCTGCTTGTGTATGTAATCTGTACACCCATCCAGTGCGGTGCTGGAACTCACGACGCCCGCCGATCAAGAGTCGCGGTCGCGTGGGCCTCCTCCGACCGAGCCAGCCAGGTGCCCTGAAATACGTGTACTTGAAAAACCAATGTGAAGCCTGCACCCGTGAACTTTTTTTTTTAAAGATTTTATTTATTTATTTGAGACAGAGAGAATGAGAGAGACAGAGAGCACATGAGAGGGGGGAAGGGTCAGAGGGAGAAGCAGACTCCCTGCCGAGCAGGGAGCCCGATGCGGGACTCGATCCCGGGACTCCGGGATCATGACCTGAGCCGAAGGCAGTCGCTTAACCAACTGAGCCACCCAGGCGCCCTTTTTTTTCTTTTCTTTTCTTTTTTTTTTTTAATAGATGCACCCGTGAAGTGTTTACTGCGAAACCTTCTTTTGATCGTCGCACTCTTGAGTGGAGGCCGTACCAGTAAAGAACGTAGTTTAGCCAACTCAGGAAGAGATCAGCTTTAAAGGAAAACCTTCTTTTCGAGTTTGTGATGTCTGGTCCTTTCTCTCAACTCGATCGATGTCCAGCCTTCAGAGCCACATTATTTGCTTGGTCTCTCTCTCTCTCTCTCTCTCTCTCTCTCTCTCTCTCTCTCGTCTGTGTTTCCTCGTGTACTTTCCTGATGCTCAGGATTTATGGTTTAGAGAGAACAGTTTTCAGCCTGGTGTGTGTGTGTGGGGGGGGGGATGTTGTGAAGTGGGATCAGGGATTCACGCGGGTAAGGAGGAGGCAAGGAGAAAGGCTTGGTTGGGAAGGAAACCATTAAAGGTCCATGTTGAAATGGTGAAGTTTATTTTATTTATTTATTTATTTATTTATTTATTTATTTATTTATTTATTTATTTATTTATTTACTTTTTAAAGATTTTATTTATTTATTTGACAGAGAGAGACAGCGAGAGAGAGAACACAGGCAGGGGGAGTGGGAGAGGGAGAAGCAGGCCTCCCGCGGAGCAGGGAGCCCGATGTGGGGCTCGATCCCAGGGCCCTGGGCTCGTCACCTGAGCCGAAGGCGGACGCTTAACGACTGAGCCACCCCCCAGGTGCCCCGAAATGGTGAAGTTCAATGTAGTAAGAGTTACCTTTAATCAAAGGAATTCTTTTTTTTTTCTTTTATTTTATTCTTATGTTAATCCCCATACATTACATCATTAGTTTTAGATGAAGTGTTCCATGATTCATTGTTTGTGCACAACACCCACTGCTCCATGCAGAATGGGCCCTCCTCAATACCCACCACCAGGCTAACCCATCCTCCCACCCCCCTCCCCTCTAGAACCCTCAGTTTGTTGTTCAGAGTCCATCGTCTCTCATGGTTCGTCTACCCCTCTGATTTCCCCCCGCTTCATTCTTCCCCTCCTGCTACCTCCTCCTCCTCCTCCTCCTCCTCCTCCTCCTCCTTCTTCTTCTTCTTCTTTTTTTTTTCTTAACATAGATTGCATTATTATTTGTTTCAGAGGTACAGATCTGAGATTCAACAGTCTTGCACAATTCACAGCGCTTACCAGAGCACACACCCTCCCCAGTGTCCATCACCCAGTCACCCCATCCCTCCCACCCCACCCCCCACTCCAACAACACTCAGTTTGTTTCCTGCGATTAAGATAATCAAAGGAATTCTTGCTGGAGGTTGCTTCTCCCCTCTCCTCCCTGGATAGGGGAGTGAAGTTTTTTCGAGGTCCCTAGTGGACACAGAAAGCGTTCAAGTGCCCCTAGCACCTATGGATGGGGCTCTGTTGCCCTCTAGTGTCCTATCCTCTGCTACTGCTGCTCGTGGTTTCCTCTGACGTCGTATTCGTCACAGGTGTGTATCTTTGATGGTTAATGCTGCTCGGTGTCGGTTGTTTGCGTGTTTGTTTTTGAAAGCTTTTTGAGTGATCATCCAGCATGGTGCTGGAACTCACGACCCCTGCAGATCAAGAGTCGCAGTCGCGTGGGCCTCCTCCGACCGGAGCCAGTCAGGTGCCCTGAAATGCGCTTAGTTGAAACAGGAAGAAAGAAAAAACAAAAAACAAAACCCAAACCATTTTTTTTTTCCCCCTTTACGAGCCAGAGGAAGTTCTACGCCTTGTTTTTGTTTTACCCTTAATAGCATGGAACAGTTCTCCTCCTCCTCCTCCTCCTCCTCCTCCTCCTCCTTCTTCTTCTTCTCCATCATCATCATCATCATCATCAATATTTAACTCTTCTAGAGCACCTCCCCCGCCCACCCCGTACTAGTGTTGGACGGCACGGATGTCCCGGAACTGGATTTCTTTAAAGATATATATTTTTACGATTTTATTGATTTATTTGACAGAGGGAGACACAGCGAGAGAGGGAACACAAGCAGGGGGAGTGGGAGAGGGAGAAGCAGGCTTCCTGCCGAGCAGGGAGCCCGATGCGGGACTCGATCCCGGGACTCCGGGATCATGACCTGAGCCGAAGGCAGTCGCTTAACCAACTGAGCCACCCAGGCGCCCTCTTTTTTTTTTTTTCTTAACATAGATTGCATTATTTGTTTCAGAGGTACAGATCTGAGATTCAACAGTCTTGCACAATTCACAGCGCTTGCCAGAGCACCTACCCTCCCCAGTGTCTATCACCCAGTCACCCCATCCCTCCCACCCCACCCCCCACTCCAGCAACCCTCAGCTTGTTTCCTGCGATTAAGAATTCCTCCTATCCGTGAGATCATAGGATACATGTCTTTCTCTGTTTGACTTATTTCACTCAACATAATACCCTCCAGTTCCATCCACGTCGTTGCCAATGGCAAGATCTCATTCCTTTTGATGGTTGCATGATATTCCATTGTATGTATATATATACCACATCTTCTTTATCCATTCATCTGTCGATGGACATCTTGGCTCTTTCCACAGTTTGGCTATCGTGGATATTGCTGCTATAAACATCGGGGTGCACGTACCCCTTCGGATCCCTATTTTTGTATCTTTGGGGTAAATACCCAGTAGTGCAATTGCTGGATCATACGGCAGCTCTAGTTTCAACTTTTTGAGGAATCTCCATACAGTTTTCCAGAGTGGCTGCACCAGCTTGCATTCCCACCAACAGTGTAGGAGGGTTCCCCTTTCTCCGCATCCCCGCCAACATCTGTCATTTCCTGACTTGTTACTTTTAGCCATTCTGACTGGTGTGAGGTGGTATCTCATTGAGGTTTTTTTTTTTTTTTTTAAGATTTTATTTATTTATTTGAGAGAGAGAGAGAGACAGAAAGAGAGCATGAGAGGGGGGAGGGTCAGGAGGATCAGAGGGAGAAGCAGACTCCCCGCTGAGCAGGGAGCCCGATGCGGGACTCGATCCTGGGACTCCAGGATCATGACCCGAGCCGAAGGCGGTCGCTTAACCAACTGAGCCACCCAGGCGCCCTCATTGAGGTTTTGATTTGGATTTCCCTGATGCTGAGCGATATTGAGCACTTTTTCATGTGTCTGTTGGCCATTTGGATGTCTTCTTTGGAAAAATGTCTGTTCATGTCTTCTGCCCATTTCTTGATTGGATTCTTTGTTCTTTGGGTGTTGAGTTGGATGAGTTCTTTATAGATTTTGGATACGAGCCCTTTATCTGATATGTCATTTGCAAATATCTTCTCCCATTCTGTCGGTTGTCTTTTGGTTTTGTGGACTGTTTCCTTTGCTTTGCAAAAGCTTTTTATCTTGATGAAGTCCCAATAGTTCATTTTTGCCTTTGCTTCCCTTGCCTTTGGCGATGTTTCTAGGAAGAAGTTGCTTTGGCTGAGGTCAAAGAGGTTGCTGCCTGTGTTCTCCTTTAGGATTTGGATGGACTCCTGTCTCACATTGAGGTCTTTCAACCATTTGGAGTCTATTTTTGTGTGTGGTGTAAGGAAATGGTCCAGTTTCATTCTTCTGCATGTGGCTATCCAATTTTCCCAACACCATTTGTTGAAGAGACTGTCTTTGTTCCATTGGACATTCTTTCCTGCTTTGTCAAAGATGAGTTGACCATAGAGTTGAGGGTCCATTTCTGGGCTCTCTATTCTGCGGAACTGGATTTCTTGAGTGAAGGACTATTTTAACTCCCTTCCTCCCCATTCCGCGCCTGCCCCCGCCCCGCCCCCCGCCCCCGCACGCCCCGCCCCGCCCCGCCCCCCGCCCCCGCACGCACCGCCCCGCCCCGCCCCCGCCCCCGCACGCACCGCGCGCCCCGCCCCCCGCCCCCGCACGCCCCGCCCCGCTTGTTGGCCTTGGACGTTATCGCGTACGTGCAGAGACGGATTTGATGTGCACCTTTCTGGGGGTGTGTGTCAATCCCCCCCCCCCCTTCCTGTCCTGAGCTTTCTTCGTATGCTTCAGAGAGACCTCCTCCTCCCCTTAAAATGATAGAAGAGAGAAGGTTCATCCGTGGTGGTTGTCGGAGTACTCGCTTGGTCTCGGTTTTACGGTCCTTGCCCGCCGAAATGTGTCTTAAGTCCTCCCGGAAGCCCGGGCGCCGCAGGTGTGCCGCTGTGGGAGGCCCGTGCCCCACGAGATCGGGCGGCCGGGCGGCCGGGCTGTGCGCCTTCGCGGGCCCGCGATCCGGATCTGCCTCGTTGTTGTTCGCGCCGGTTGTCGGGTGCCACCTGGCGGCCGCTTTTAGATAGCGTGTCCCCGCCGGAGTGTCAGCGATGTCGGCAAGGGATTGTATTTGGCCGCGGTTCCCGAGGCGGAGTACCGGGAGGCCGGCGACGCTAGCGAGATCGGCCCGCTGTCTCCGGGCCACCGGCGCGACCTCCGCTCGCGGGAGATTGAGCCTCCAGGTTTGTGGGCTGGTGGTGGCGCCGCCGCCTCGCTCCCGGAGAGCCACGCTAGGGTGGCCGCCTGGACGGGTCGACCAGCACCCGCCGGTGCCCCCTCCTCCGCCCGCGGGAATGGGAGAGGCTGCGTCGGGCGCCCGGACGCCATCCGGCCCGTGGCTCCGGTCGGCCGTTGGGCCTTCCGTGTCACGCTCGGGCGGTTGGGGACCGGCCTGAGCCTTGCGGGGAAGCCCATGGATGGCGCGACGGGCCCCGCCGCGGGCACGCGTGGGGTCCCGGTCATCGGACCCGATATTTTTTTTTTTTTTTAAGGTTTTTATTTATTTATTTATTTATTTGAGAGAGAGAGAATGAGAGACAGAGAGCATGAGAGGGAGGAGGGTCAGAGGGAGAAGCAGACTCCCCGCCGAGCAGGGAGCCCGATGCGGGACTCGATCCCGGGACTCCAGGATCATGACCCGAGCCGAAGGCAGTCGCTTAACCAACTGAGCCACCCAGGCGCCCCGGACCCGATATTCTTAACAAGTTTTCCGAGGCCCGCTGCGGAGGTGGGGACCCGACCGGGTCGGGCCGGGCCGGGCCGGGCCGCGAGGGCCCCAGGGGCCCGGCTGCGGTTCCCGTTGAGGTCCGGCCTTCGGGGGGACGCCTCCGCGGCATCGCCCCCTTTCCTCAGTCCCGGCCGGGAGTCGGGGACCGGCATGGGGCGGTCCTGAGGCCCGGGGAGGAGGGCGTCCGCAGGGGCCTCCACAGAACTTGGTGAGAATTTCTAAAGTCCCGATTTGGGGACGAAAGGCGGACCCGGGGGCGGGCCTATCCGGGCCGCTCCACCTCCCGCCAAGTCCCTACTCGCTGCCGGCTGCCACCACGTTCCGGGGGTCGACCAGATGGCCCGGGGGGGGGGGGGGGGCGCGGGGGGGGCTCCGGGGGGAGACGGGGGCGATGGATTAGTGCTTGGGGCCCGTGGCCGGGACACGGTCCCAGGAGATCCCGGTGACCTGTGGCTAGGCCACGCCAGGCGGCGCGGCTATTTTCTCGCCCGAAATGAGCCCTTTTTGCCGCCAGGTAGGTGCTGGCACGTTATGTTTGGGCGATCCTCTCCTTAAGGGAGGTGGGCTTCTGGGCGTGTGGCGGGGCTCCGGGCTTGACAGGGATGCCAAGCCCGGCTCTGCCGTCGCTGGCCTGAGCCGTCCGCGTGGGCCTGTGCGCCGGCTCCTGTGCCTCCAGGTGGCCCAGGCCGTTGGTGCCGCCTCCGGTCTCCAGCACCCGAGGGCGGTTGTGGGCAGGTGGCGCGTGGGTCCTTTACCCTGTGTCCTCCACTCTGTGGGCACCCGGCTGTGGTCGTGACAACCTCCCGTCCCGCAAGGCTCCGTGCCGCGTGTCAGGCGTTCCTCTCTCTCGGGTTGTCCGGCTGTTCCTGCCCTGGGGTTTTCGAGGGGGTGCCGGTGAGGCCGAAAAAAAACAAAACAAAACAGGCTCCCCCTCGGGTTGCTGTCCTCACCGGCTTCTCCCCTCCTCGGGCTCCTCTCGGCGCTTGTGTTTTGCCAGATCGATGTGGTGCTCTCGCGCTCTCCCGGGCCGGGCCTAAGCCGCGCCAGACGAGGGACGGACGTTCATGGCGAATGGGACCGCTCTTCTCGTTCTGCCCGCGGGCCCCTCGCTCCTTCGCCTCTGCCCGCCGTGGCGGTGAGGTGGGGGGTGCGGGGGGGGTGTGTGCAGGCTCCGGCCCGACCCCGCCTTCCCGTGTTCTGCCTGACGGCGCTCGCGGGCCCGGGGTCCCCCGACGCAGCGGACACTCTCGCTTGCCTTCCCTGGCTTCGTGTGGTGCGCGGTCCTCCCCGCCACGGGGAGGGCCGTCCCGGCGCCGCGCTGCTCACGCGCTTGGGCGTGCTGAGCGCGTTGTGCGCGTGGCCCTCCGTGGTGCCCCTGGAGCGCTCCAGGTCGTCTCAGGTGCCTGAGGCCGAGTCGGTAGCGTCGTTTCCCGTTCCCAGCGAGCCCCCTCCGTCGGGCCACCGCTGTCGG